CCGCTCAAGGCTCTTGATGTAGGCCTCTTTGTTGAGTCTGAGTTCCTGTGGTATGATGAATAGAGTCATAACGTCGCCATCACTTGTAATCATTCCAAACACTTTCGCTATCACTATTAGACTCATCCAACTATTTCCGAATCCTCTGCACTGTACTCAGATTGACATTCTGAAATATACAGTAATACCGTTTCCAAATTCCTGGTGGAGCGAATTGCGTCATGGTGCTCTTTTTTCACAGCCGGTGCCCAACTGACTCTACTATACTGTGCAGTCGACACAATCAAAAACAAAGAACGCGCATGCGCGAAATAAAAAATACTGTGCAGTCGACACAATCAAAAACAAAGAACGCGCATGCGCGAAATAAAAAATACTGTGCAGTCGACACAATCAAAACAAAAGAACGCGCATGCGCGAAATAAAAAATACTGTGCAGTCGACACAATCAAAAACAAAGAACGCGCATGCGCGAAATAAAAAAATATAATATGGCGATAATTTACCCATCACACGCTTAAGTGTGCCGCGTTGTATTGTCACGTCATACATATATATGTGTGAAAGTCGTAATGGTACAGCGTTAGTATTTGACTAAATGAATAAGTATTAAACATTTTTCAAATAATTCCTCCACTTCAACTTCCAAATTTGGAGTCACTAAATCTTTCTTGATTTAATATTCATTCAAGAACCCACTGGATGACTTTGCCATTGTTAATGTATATTCTTATCGTTAAAAAGAAAACTTTTGATTGTTATTTTTTGTAATTTTCTTTTTTAATTTGTTTATTGTTTGCTTTTTTTGTCTTTTTTTACTCCTGTGGCATCCTATTTCCGAAATTTTTTCTTTCTTTATTGTTTTAATTTTTCTCTTAATAATTGCCTCAGCACGTGTACACGTGTATATATATATATATATATATATATATATATATATATATATATATATATGTGTGTGTGTGTGTGTGTGTGTGTGTGTGTGTGTGCGCGCGCGCTTACGCGCATTCGGGTACGACAGCATAAAGTGCTTGCACATTAATTTATTGTTAATTTGCATTATTACATTTTAATATGAGTCTATCCTTGAGTGGTAAGCTGAATGTAATTTCGACTTGAATTTTTTTTACATGAATGTGGATATTAGGACTTATACTAAAACTTAATAAAGTTGCATTTTAATTTGCTTCATTCAATCGTGTGTCTATATATTTATTATTTTCAAGTGCCATTCTTTTGTGGCTGACTGTTCCTGGAATCTGGGAAGAACTTGAATTCCTTTGACAGAAGCCAAAATAAAAGTAGGTAAATAGCAAAGAAAATTGACCCTTAACCGCCCAACTCCGTACCATAACCACCCACTCCAAGTGAGAGATGGTAGTATGCTTTTGCATATGGACATCAGAAAAAATAATTTAAAAGTCGTCGTAATTGAACCAAAGCATCACTGAAATTAAGTCAGCCTGCTCTGTCCGTAAAATGTCCACTTTTAATACTGGTAAAAGGAATTGAAACCTCTCCAGTAAGATTCTAAGGACAGACCCTTACTACCTATTACACCCCTTAAAATATAAGCAACCAAAGATATAAAACTAAACGTGCTCAACAAAAAACTCCTAAATCCCTCAACCTTTCTTTCTCTAACATTCGGGGTATTTGTACCAACTTCAGCAGCGTGGAGTCTTTCCTCTTCGAAAAGTCTCCGGATATACTAACTCTCTGTGAAACTAATCTTAACTCTTCAATCCTGATTTTTCGATTCCTAGCTATCTTCATCTCTTTAAGAAGGGCTCTAATGTCCATATGCATGGCCTGGCGGGTTTTGTCCACAAGCATCTCCCGTTGGCTAGGGAACTTTCTCTTGAATCTCCAGACCATTCTTACATGTGTCTCCATCTCTCTTTACTAAACTCAGTCAACTATCTCTTCTTTCTCTACCGTTCCTCTTCCTCTCATGACTGTTGAGTGCTAGATAGTATTTCCGATAATATAGACAAGGCCATCTCCCTACACTTGTCTGCAAATATATTTGTGTTCGATGAATTTAATACCACCATACCAGGGGACTTAAACACTCTGTCACTGACTTCGCTTGACATCCAAAACCCGATCTTCTCAGTCACTCAATCTCTCACACAAGTGGTGGACTCCCCCACGTGTTTTGCCAGTAACCTCGATGGACTCGCTTAAGTCTAGATCTCTTTTTACCTCTATCCCTGACTCATGTCGTACTATGCAGCTCTGCACTCTTTGAGCGGTAGTGTCTGTAAATATCTCCACCAACAAGAAATCCTCGAGCCAACAGAAAATCATTCTCTTATCAACGAGCGGATTTGTAACTCGTTCCGTGATTTCCATTGTGAAGTCCCTTGGAATGAAGTATTTAGTCACCCTGTTCAAAAATGCGTGTCTCCTGCTTTCATTCCAGCAAGGAAATACCAAGTTAAATCGCGTTCATCTCCTTGATTCTTACCTGAATGCTCAGCCGATATAGCCCATAGGAATTACTTCTGCTGGATGTACCACAGCGACACGTCTGATTGCAACAGACGTCTCTTTGTCTTCGCTCGTAATGAGTGCAAGCGTGTCCTCAAAAAAGCGAAGTTACTGTTTTCTGATAGAATGAAACAACGTATAGCATCTAGCAAGTTCGTTTCTAGAGATTATTGGTAGCTCTGCAAGAGCGTGGTGAACAAGAGCAAATACTCAATCCTTTCTCAATTAATTTGAAGTCCTGAGATCTACAGCAGATAAGGTTGAAGGCTTTGCTCAGAATTTCTCTTCCAGCTCAACATTCGACTCAATTGGATTCCCCATACCGGATTTCCCCCTAGAAGGTAGGCTCTACTGAGTGGCATGAGCATAATCCCGTCACTGGTCTCAGACATCATTTCTAAATTAGACTCCCAAAAGGCAAGTGGAGGTAACAGGATCCCAGTTGTAGTCGTAAAGAAATGTGCTCCCAAGCTGGCTCCAGTTATATCTAAACTCTACAACTATTGTCTCGTTGTTACATGCTTTCCAGGGTATTGGAAGTCCTCCTCTGTACTTCCCGTTTTTAAGAACCTTCTGATCCCTCTAACTATCACACTATTAGTCTTTTATCATTTTCTGGCAAAGTATTCGAGGCTTTAATTAATGCTGAAGTGCTTAAGCATCTTACCTCTCAGGGCCTAATCTCTGACAAACAATATGGCTTCCATTTTTCTAGGTCTACCACTGATGTGCTAACGGCCATCACTGAATATGTATATCAAGATCTTGATAATAACGGCGAAACTCGAGTTGTAGCTCTAGATATCTCGAAGGCGTTTTACAAGTTTTGACACGCTGATCTGCATAAGCTCAACGGCTACGGTATTAAAGGACGATTGTTTGATTTAATTCAATCATTCCTATCAAATCATGAAATGAAGTTCGTTTTGAACGGGTTCGATTCCAGATCCTTTCACACGAACGTGGGTGTCCTAAAAAGATCCATTCTGGGTCCTGTGTTGCTTCTGTTGTTCATCAGTAATGTTCCTGATGTCATCAGTTCCCATGTAGACATTTATACAGATGACACTACCATTTACTCCTGCCTCAATAGAAAATCCCTCAGAGCTGACAAAGTTAACCTGGCTGCTGCTCTTGTAAAGGACCTCCAATCAGTGGTTAACTCGCGCAGGAATTGGCTTGTAAATTTTAATTCTTCCAAAATGAAACTGCTCTCATATAACCACCATAGAGAAAGTTTTCTGCAACCATCAGCATGGTTGATGCTATACTCACGAGGAGCATGAGTATAGATTCTCGGCCTCCCGTTTTAAAATGACTTGAAGTCGAGCGGCTACATTGAATCAATAGCTTCATCTACTGCAAGGAAAGTTGGGTCACCGTGTCGTGCCAGAAGGTTTTTATTGTCCATCTTGCACATTTACAAATCTACTATTCGTCCTGTTACCATATTTGATCTAGGGCTCCTGCTATTCATCTCGAGGTTCTTGACAAAATCCAAAGAAGGATTAGCAATGTAATCGATCCTGACTTGTTATCTTGATTTCAATCACTTTTTCATCGACGTGACGTGGCTTCCTTCTTCCTCTTTTCTACAAATATTTTCATGGCAACGGCTCTTACATTAATATGTGAATTTAAGCTACTATGTTGGCATCTAGGTCCCACCATTTTACTGCTGAAATAGTTAAATGCAGCCGCTTCTTTTACTCCAGCAGTTTCTTTTCGCGCACCCCCGCCTGTGGAAACCCATTCCGTTTATTTGCCTCCCTGATAACTACAATCTTCAAAAATTTAAATGCAATGTTAATCGTTATCTTCTATGATCTTGAATCCCGTTCACTTTTTATCCTTTCTTCAGTCCCTTCCTGTACCCAGATTTTCTCTCACTTTCTCTTCCTGCAACCCCACTGCGTACTAGTGGCATTGCCGCTTTGCTTGGCGTGAAAAAAATAAATAAATAAAAATTTCTTTTCACTATTCTTCGATTATGTTATTTTAAATACTTTGTTTTAATATTCATTTTTTAAAAGTATTTTTATTTTTTTTTAATTTAACTTTTTAAAATTTCCCTTTATTTGAATAAATGAATATTAACCTTTTTTATAATTGTATTCAATATTCTTTGTTTAATTCAAAATTTATGGTTTTATTTTATAATATTTAAATGTATACCCTTTAAAAATGTTACTAAATGTGCCGTGATATTTTCATTTTCTCCTAGGTGTGCTGTTGCTTAAATTGGTTGAGAAACACTGTATTAAGGGTACACACAAATTGATGTTAGATTTAAGTATAGGAACTAAGTACTTTTACATTTATTTACACCCTATTTCATCGGCAGTTTCTATCCATGAGTTTTCTTTGAACTTATTTTCTTATTCAATATCGGTTTTCTTCCATTTGATTTTATCATTCCAAATGTCTGCGTTTTATTTTGTTGTTCTGTTTCTTCCATGCTTTCTCGCTTCACTCAAACTCTTTTGCATTTATAACGGTAGAATATGACGTATTAAAAGAAATCGCCTTGCACTCAAGTACAAACATTCGGATAAATACAACGCTAGGAGACGCTCGTCTTTAAGCTGCCAATTACAGCTCTGCTCGTTAAATGTCAGAGACCTTCAACTTTTTCGCCACAGCTGACCCGATATCTTGTCTTGTCTTCATTTCTCTTGTTCTAGAAATTCATATCTCCATAATAAAGGGAGTTTCTTTTGTTCAGGCTCAACGAAGGCGTAGTTTAAAGAAGTCATGCCTAGATTCCAGC